TAGGTGTTCTGGAACGTTCCCTGTTGCTATTATTATCAATACTACTGATGCTAGTTTGACCTTCAGAGACTATCACAATTGGGAAATGGAAAAGCAGTTCACAATCAGGACCCCACCCAGAGATTTAGCACCCAAAGGACTCCTTCAGGGGTCTCCAGCTTGACCTTGGCAATGATCCAGGATGTCATGTGTCGTCCCTTCACTCCTGTTTAAAGTTGTTCTAATGAAGCCAAAACGTCCTTTGCTATATTTCTCAAAATAAGTCCTTTAGTGGGTCCCTGGGCTCACAGTGCCACTGCCAGGTAACCGGGGGGCGTGGCCACCTGGGTTTGAGGCTGCAGGAAAAGAGATGCCTGAGGGGACCAGTAGCAGGGGCCAAGGCAGCCTCACAGACCCTCCTCCAAGGACAAGTCCCAAAACAAGACCTGTGAGGGCCGAAACCGGCCCTGCTTGACACTCAGATTGTCTGCCATTGGAGAACCAATAATTACTGTCTGTGCCCCTGTAACAGCTTCTGCTTTCGACAAAAATTTAAAAATAAAATAAAATCTACAAAACACCCAGGCATTGCTGGGCAAATATATTGGATTGTTCAGAAAGAGTGCTGAGATGGAAACCTCAAATTGCTTATGGACTGCAGAGAAAGGTCTTAAAGGTCTGGCTTTAGCATAGACCATAGCTTTATTTATTTATTTATTTTGAGACAGAGTCTCACTCTGTTGCCCAGGCTAGAGTGAGTGCTGTGGCGTCAGCCTAGCTCACAGCAACCTCAAACTCCTGGGCTCAAGCAATCCTGCTGCCTCAGCCTCCCGAGTAGCTGGGACTACAGGTATGCGCCACCATGCCTGGCTAATTTTTTCTATATATTTTTAGTTGGCCAATTAATTTCTTTCTATTTATAGTAGAGACAGGGTCTCGCTCTTGCTCAGGCTGGTTTCAAACTCCTGACCTCGAGCCATCTGCCCGCCTCGGCCTCCCAGAGTGCTAGCATTACATGCGTGAGCCACCATGCCCAGCCAGAACATAGCTTTTGATTCTGCACCATCTCACTCCAACCCAAGAGAACAGCAGCTGCTGGGGCCTGGAGGCCCATTTAGGAGCGAGGCTATAGGCTCTGGTCTTGTGGTTCACAAAGGGCCCCACACTTTGGCTTTTGACATTATCTCCAGATGACGGGATTGACAGAAGTGACATTCAGGATAGAACTCTAAACTCATTTTCTATCACTGCCTATGGAGCACTGTGAAATATTTAAAATGTATTCTGGAATTATGCAAAATCACATTTACCTTTACTATATTTTTCTGAGATAAAAGTATTAACTTGTCAAGAATAAACATTTAAAATATACTAGTTCTCAGCAACCTTTTTGGGGGAAGGAGGGAGCATTTCTTCATATTTTAATATACTAGGGAGTCCTTAAAAAATGCAAGTAACTGTGGGCTAGTCTTGTCTGCTGAGAGGCCCTGGCCGGGACCTAGGGCTGAGAGGGAAGCATCAGGACAGGCCTAGATGTCACTGCGTCTCTCCTGCAAAGATCCCTAACAACATCAGCTTTTCTCAGGACCTCTCTGCTTCTCAACAAGAAGGTAATATAGTAACATTAATATGGTAACGTCAGTCCCCACTTCTGTCCACCCACGGAGGAGACACATCTGCAAAGACAAAGCCTGAAAGTGCAGCTTGTTCAACCAAACCGGCAAGGCCCCTGAGTGTATCCACACAGGGAGTGTTTGGCCCCGTCCCATACTCAGCCCACCAGGGTTTGAACTACAGACAGCACATTTTTTCTCAACTGCTCTAAGCCATGGCCCAGATAGCACCAAGTTTTTTTCCACCTCTTATGTAAACTTCCAAAATCTACAATAAAATAAATCAAAAATTTTAACTTGAGTATTCATCATCTGTCTCGATCCCCATGTGATTAAGATGAGGTACTTGGCCTTGAAATCCAGGACGTTTTGTTAACCTGACACACCTCAGAAGTCAGTTTCAAGAAGAAAGGGTGGAAGCCTCCCTCTCTCTGACTTCCTCTCTTGAAGTTAATAAAAATGGGTGATGGACCAAATCCAGGCAGAGTGCTGGCAGCCAACGCCCAATCACAGATAATCACAGCCACACCCTTTTCTCACGCACGGTGCCAACGCTGAAACCTTTACAGGCAATCTTTTCCCATGGACCGTAACTAGCAGCAACAGCTAGAAAGGATTACAGTTGATCCCAGGCCCCCCCAGTTTGTATCTTTTTCAGGGATGAATCATTCACTTGATAAAAATATTTTTTAAGGCACTATTTTTCAAATTGAGGTATAATTCACATAACATAAAATCCACCATTTTGAAGTTTGCAATTCAATGGTTTTAAATAGTTTCACTTCATTGTGCAACCATCACTGCTCCCTAATTTTGAAGCATTTCCATCATAAGAAAAAGAAATCCCATACCTGTTAGCAGTCACTCTCTATTGCCTCCTCCCCTGGTCTTTGGCAACCATTAATCTACTTTCTGTCTCTATGAATTTGCCTATTCTGGACATTTCATATAAATGGAATCATTTGATATGTGACATTTTGTGTTTGGCTTATTTCACTTAACATAGTGTTTTCAAGGTTCATTCATGTTGTAGCATGTACTGGTACTTTATTCCTTTTCATTGTCAAATAATATCCCATCGTGTGGATATACAATGTCTTATTTATCCATTCATGAGTTGATGGACATCTGGGTTGTTTCCATTTGAGGGCTATTATGAATAATGCTGATATGAATATTCATGTGCAAGCTTTTGAGTAGATGTATGTTTTCAATTCTCTTAGGTATACACCGAGGAGTGAAATTTCTGGGTCATTTGTTAATTCTATGTTTGACTTTCTGAGGAGCTGCCAGGCTGTTTTCCCACTCAATACATGTTAACCGAGCCCCACCTTGCTGCTGTGCTAGGAGCCAACAGCACGATGGTGGATCAGGCAGGCCTGGCCACCTGCCCTCGTAGAGCTTAGAGTTCAGCAGGGGAAGAAGACATTAACAGATAATTACAAAAAGATTTTGATGGGTGTGGTGACTCACGCCTGTAATCCTAGCACTTTGGGAGGCCAAGGCAGGAGGATTGCTTAAGGCCAGGAGTTCAAGACCAGCCTGGGCAACATATTGAGACCCTGCTTCTACACACACACAAAATTTAAATATTAGCCAGGCTTGCTAGTGGGTGTGTTTAGTCCCAGCTACTGGGAAGGCTGAGGCAGAAGCCTCGCTTAAGCCCAGGAAAGAGTGAGGTTGCTGTGAGCTATGATGACATCACTGTACTCTAGCCCAGGCAACAGAGTGACACCCTATCTGAAAAAAACACCAAATTGTTTCTTAGCACATTTGTCACAAATGCCAAGGAGGGGAAGTTCAGCCTGCTATGAGACTGTCATACAAGGAGGCCTGCCCTAAGGGTGTGAAAGAGGTCACAGGACGAAAGCAAAGACATTCTTAAAACATCAAATCCAGGGATTGTGATACAAAAAAATAAATAAATAAAAATAAAACATATTCCCAATAAGCCAAAATGAAATACTGGTCATTTAGTGGATTTCTGAAAGTTCCCACCATCTGGGGGCTCAGAAACTCCATACAGCGGCTCCAGTAGTCTTTGAAATGGTTTACTGAAATATTTAGTATAGAAATGTGAGTAGGGAACAGGTCGTAAAGTTTGGAGATGATAATTCTTGACAAATCCCTTTAAGTACAGTCATGTGTTGCATGATGCTTCGGTCAGCAATTGACGGTGGTCCCGTAATTTTATAATAGAGCTGAAAAATCCCCATCACCCAATGCCACAGCCATTGTAATGTTGGAGCACAACACATTTCCCTCGTGCTTGTGGTGATGCTGGCACAAACAAACCCACCGCACTGCCGTCATATAAAAGTCTAGTACATATGATTATGTACAATGCATAAAACTTGACAATAACCACGAATGACTATGTTCCTGCTGTATGTATTTCCTATACTCTACTTTTTATCTTCATTTTGGAGTGTACTCCTTCTACTTATAAAAAAAAATTTTCTATAGGACAGCCTCAGGCAGGTGCCTCAGGAGATATTCCCGAAGGCACTGTTACCATAGGTGACAGCTCCATGCATGTTATTGCCCCCGAATTCCTTCCAGTGGGACGAGAGGTGGACGTGCAAGACGGTGATATGGATGAATCTGACCCTGTGTGTAGGCCTAGGGTCTTTAGCCAAAGGGTAAAAAGTAAATAAGTAAACAAATTATTAAATAGAAAAAAATGTATAGAATAAGCATATAAAGAAAAAATATGCTTGTACAGCTGTACAATGTGTTTATGTTTGAAGATAAGAGTTATTACAAAAGAGTCAAAAAGTTTAAAAAATTAAAAAGTTTATAATAAAGTAAACAAGTTACAGTAAGCTAAGGTCCATTTATTATTCAAGAAAGAAAAATACATTTTTATTAATTTAGTATAGCTTAAGTGTACAGTGTTTATAAGGTCTCCATAGTGTACAGCAGTGTCCTAGGCCTTCACGTTGACTTACTACCCACTCACTGACTCACCCAGAGCAACTTCCAGCCCCACAAGCTCCACTCATGGTAAGTGCCCCATATGGGTGTACCAATTTTTTACCTTTTATACTATATTTTCACCGAACCTTTCTATGTTTAAATATGTTAAGATGCACTAAACAGGTGCATCTCACCTCTGGGCTACAATTGTCTACGGTGTTCAGCAGTAACTTGCTGTACAGATTTGTAGCCTAGAAGCAATAGGCTGTACCACAGAGCCTAGGTGTGTGGCAGGCTACACCATCTAGGTTTTCCTGAGTACATGCTATGGTGTTCGCACAAAGACAAAATCTCCTGACAAAGCATTTCTCAGAACACATGCCCGTCATTGAGCAACACGTGACTGTAGTTGAAGAAACTCTCACCCTGGCTTCCTCCTCCTTAAGAGAGATTCAGGGCCACACCTCTTTAAGGCCAAGGAGAACTTACCCCTTTCCTGACGTGTTCTCCTGCCTTCCTGACTCACACCTTTGCAACCTTCCCCTCCTTGCAGCTGTTCCCAACATTCACTGTAAAAAAAAATGAATGCCCCATTGTTTAAAGTAGCAATTAATTGTCCAACCTCTCATAGGAAGGAGGGAAGCTCTGAAAATGTTAGCTATTAATTCCTAGTGATGTGAAAGTTTAGTTGGGCCTCAGGAGGTTAAAGTGACCATATTTCAAGTGGCAGAATTTGTAGGGTTTCATTCCTGTTGAATTAATCTAAAATATTTCTACTTTGATCAAGGCACTGGGCTAGGTGCTATGTGAAGGTATAAAGAAACATAAGAGCATCCATCCCCATCAATCCCAGTCCTTAAGAAAACATCTAGGGAGGGAGAAGAATCTTCTACAAGGGTATCCTGGGATACATGCAGCACGTGAGGGTCTAAGTGTCCTCGTGTAAGAGACAGTTTTGTTGGGGAGAAGAGAATTCTCCTTAGGCTGGGCTGGGTGCTGTGAGCTTTACTTTATGAAGGATGGACAGGCTTTCAACAGATTTCGGGGGGAGGGGGGGAGATGGCATTTCAGACAAGGCAGATAACAGGTACAAAGGCCCAGGGGCAGGAATTTAAAAGATAAATTTGGTCCAAGAACAGGTTTCTGGTGAAACTTTGTTTAAAAAGAGAAAAGAAAAGAAAAGTTGGCCCAGGGCGGTGGCTCATACCTGTAATCCTAGTACTCTGGGAGTCTGAGGCAGGAAGATCGCTTGAGGCCAAGAGTTTGAGACCAGCCTGAGGAAGAGCTAGACCTGTCTCTACTAAAAACGGAAAAATTAGTAGGGCATGGTGGTGCATGCCTGTAGTCCCAGCTACTCAGGAGGCTGAGGCAGGAGGATCACTTGAGCCCAGGAGTTAGAGGTTGCTATGAGCTAGGCTGGCACCACTGCACTATAGCCCGAGTCACAGACTGAGGACTCTGTCTCAGAAACAAAGAGAGAGAGAGAGAGAGAGAACCTTAAAGTTTCTAGTTTTTATCAATAGCCCCAGTAAGATCTGAGGTTTCTTTCCCATCCCTAACCAAGGACAGTCCCAACTATTGGGGTACAATAATTAAAAAGGGAATACCATATGGCAGTCTAGTTCCTTTTTCCTTGCCTCACCCTTGGTGTGGAAAGCATCCTACAAGGGTCCCCTGATGCAGATGACAGTGGACATGTTGAAAAGGGCTCTCCTTTGACTGAACCTGGCAGTTGCTGAATCCCCGGAGGAACAGGTTGGGGCCTCTACTGAGGTCTCTGGGATGGATAGGTCCCTTCTCCCCTCCTCCACTCCTCCCCCAAGCAGCTATTCCACCTATCAGAGGTGGCTCGGGGCTTTTTGCCTTCTATCCACTATTGTTTTCTTCACAGGAATCTTTGGAATTTCTCTCTTCCCTGGCTTTACTGCATTGGTTCTCAGTAGGGATGCTACTGCCCTCCAGGGGGTGTTTTAGAAATTTTGGGGGACTTTTTTTGGTTGTTGCAGTGATAGGGCTTTTAGTGAGGAGAGATCAGGACTGCCAGAAGTCCTCCTGCAATGTGCAGGAAAGTTCTGCAAGAACTGTCCTATATCCCACAGGACATTTACATATCTAATTATAATTTTTTTTTGTAGGAGAAAAGGCCTTTACTAAATACTATATCACATTTTAATTCTTATGTTATTTCATTTTATTTTTTAGACATGGGGTCTCACTCTATCACCCATGCTGGAGTACAGTGTCACGATCATAGCTCACTGCAGCCTCCAACTCCTGGGCTCAAGTGATCTTCCTGCCTCAGCCTCCCAAGTAGCTGGGACTACAAGCCCACCATGTACAGCTAATTTTAAAAATTTTTTTGGAGAGATGGAGTCTCACTATGTTGCCCAGGCTGGTCTCATATCATAATTTTTAGACTGAATTAATGATTTGTTCACATCTCAGAAGAATGAAAGAAAATGATGAAAAGGTTGAAATATATGTCTAAAAGAAGAAACTAGTATTCTTTTGCCAGTATCCTATTAGCTGTGCTTAGTCTAACTATTAATACAATTCTTTGAGCCTTGAAACTTAACTCCACTCTACACATAAACACAATGCATTTTTTGCACAGTTTTAGATGCCCAGATTTTCCCCCTGAAGAATGCAATTGCCATGTAAGCAGACAGAACATTGCACTTTGTCTTGTGTAGAATTTTACAGTGTTCACCGTTTTGGAAAGTCATACGCCCACAGCAACTGCACTCGTGTTTTCTGAGTTGCCAACACCACACACCCGTATGAGGCTGTGTCTACGGTGCTCACATTTACTGTGACTCTATGACCAGGTTCAGGACATCTGACTTCTTTGCTATGTCTTCTAGTGCAGCTTTGCCTGACAACTTACATTTTAAAGACATATTAATATTTTATTATAAATTGGTTTCCTTTCTCTTATGTTACAGCTAGGCATTTGTGACAGATCGTATTTTTCAAAGATGCCACACCAATATCTAACCCATTCTACGTGCTCTTCTTATAACATGACATTGAAATTCCTCCATTGAAAGGGAGAATCGATGTTCCTTCCCCCTGAACTTGAGCGGGACTTTGTAATCGCCTCAACCAACAGAATGTGGCAGAATAATGCTATGCAACTACCGAAACTTAAATAAACCAAGTGGGATGATTAAATTTTATGCATCAACTTGGCTGGGCCATGGCACCCAGATATGTGGTCAAACATTATTCTGTATGTTTCTGTGACAGTGCTTTCGGGTGAAATTACCTTTTAAATCTGTGGACTTTCAGTAAAGCAGATTGCCTGCCATAATGTGGGTGGGCCTCACCTAATCAGTTGAAGTCTGACTAGCCCAGAAGACTGACCTGCCAGCGTGCGGCCTCCAGACTTGAACCACATCAGCTCTTCTCTGAGTCTCCAGCCTACCAGCCCACCCTGCATGTTTTTAGACTTGCTGGCCTCTGTAATTGTGTGAACAAATTGCTTAAAATACATCTCCTTCTTTCTGTCTCTCCCCCCACCCCCTGTAAATATGTACACACACCCTATTTGTTCTGTTTCTCTGAAGCACTCTAATACAACTAGGTCATAAAAAGCAATACAGCCTCCGCCTGGCTTTCTCTTTTTCTGTGGATACTTACCTCTGGAAACAAGCCCTTATGCCATTAGAAAGCCCAGGCCACATGGAGAAGCCATGTGTGGATGTTCCAGCGAGGCCCTGGCTGGCAGCTGCAGTGACAGTGGACATGTGAGTGTAGAAGCCTTTGAGTGACTCCAGCCCCAGCCTTCACCAGCATCTGTCACCTGAAGCCCCAGCCATCATGGAGCAGAGAATAGCCATCCTCAGTGTTCTGTCTGAATCCCTCACCAACAAAAACCACAAGGTAATAAATGATTAGGTAATTTTGCTAATTTTGTTTTGAGGCTTAGTTCAAATCTTCTTTCTTTCTCTCTTTCTTCTTTCCTTCCTTTCTTTCTTTCGTTCTCTTTCTTTCTTTCTTTCTCCCCCTCCCCTCCCTCTCCTCTCCTTTCCTGACAGGGTCTCACTGTATTCCCTAGGGTAAAGGGTGCTGGCATCATCATAGCTTACTGCAGCCTCAAACTCCTGGGCTCAAGTGATCCTCCTGCCTCAGCCTCCCGAGTAGCTGGGATCACAGAAATGCACCACCATGCCCAGCTAATCGTTCCATTTTTTGTAGAGACAGGGTCTCACTATGTTGCTTAGTCTGGTCTTGAACTCCTGGCCTCAAGTGATCCTCCTGCCTTGGCCTCCCAAAGTGCTAGAATTGCAGATGTGAGCCACCGTGCCCAGTCTCTCAAAGCTTTCTTAGTCTAAATGATTCAATACTTAAAAGACCAAGAAGGATAAAGCCTCTAAAGAGGGTGATGATTAAAATCACAATAAAGGCTTTGCTATCAAATCTATGAAAACTGAGCACACCCTGCCTGATTTAGGAACACATTTGCCCTTAGTAATTTCCTGAGCAGATGCTGTAGGTACTGAGGTCAAGTAGGGCCCAAACCACATTCTCCCGTAGGACCTGGCTGCTTTGCAGGTCCTCTGAAATGACACTGATTCAATCATACTGTTTAGTCCACAGACCCCACTCATATTTTCCTGACCCAGTTACATCATTTGTAGGTCCAGCATCCCAACTGGGATCACAGGTTGCATTTGGTTGACACATCCCATTAGTCTTCTTTGATCTAGAACAGTTCCTTAGACTTTCCTGGTCTTTCATGACCTTGACATTTTTAAGAGCACAGGGACATTCCTCTATTTGGATTCCTTTGATTGCTTCCTCACAATTGGTATAATTCTGGCAGGGATACTACAGAAGTGATGCTGTGCTCTTTTTGGTGCAGCATATTAGGCGGCCCATGGCATCGATTTCTTCTTCCTGGTAGACACAGAGGGACTTTTAGCTAAGGACTTGGAATCACATATTGAGAAGAAAGACTACAGCAACTGGGAGTTCTGCCCAGCTCAACAAACCCTCTAATGCACCATGACCAGCCCAATCCAGCACAGTCAGAGCTGGGTCTATAAGGGGAGCAACAATATCACTGGAAATGTATTAGGGCAGAACAGGCCATGTTTGCCAGAACTCTTCCTAGGGAGAGAACCTGGAATTCTTCAGCACGCCACTTGGAGAAGAGGGTAAGACTTCACAGGGCATTCTCAAAAAGGTGGGAGAACAAGGAGCTTCATGCTGGGTAAGGGTAAATGAAGCTGATATGGAAAGGGGAAGGAAAACAGGTAACACAAGAAAAAATGGGCCAGAGGATGAGAGAATAATGGGGAGAAAGCAGAATCCAAAGAGCTCAAAGTATCTGTTTCATGTACCTTCATAGGGACACAGTGAGACTCTGTCTCTAAAAATATAAAAAATAGGCCAGGTACAGTGCCTTATGCTGGTAATCCCATCACTTTGGGAGGCCCAGGTAAGAGGATCGTTTGAGGCCAAGAATTTGAGACCACCCTGGGCAACATAAGATGCTGTCTTACTTAAAAATTCACTGGGCATGGTGGTGTGCACCCATAGTTCTGGCTACTTGGGAAGCTGAGGCAGGAGGATCGCTTGAGCCCAGGAATTGAAGCTAACAGTGAGCTATGATTGTGCCACTGCACTCCAGCCTGGATGACAGAGCAAGACCCCGTCTCTATAAAACAAATTTAAAGATGAAAATATAAAAAATAAGCGTATTTACAATGTACTTCTTTCTGTGAGCTAGGCTGATGCCATGGCACTCTAGCCCAGGCAACAGAGTCAGACTCTGTCTCAAAATAAATAAATAAATACAATGTACTTCTTATTCACTAGGCTTGGAGCCAAAGAGCCTCTGTTAATCCTAGATCACTGGGTAAATTATTCAGTCTGGCTGAGATTCAGTTTTCTCATCTGTGAAAAGAGGAGACAAATACCTTGCAGCCTGGCTCTAAGGACTAGCTGAGACATCTAACCATGTAGTCAGCTGATATTGATTTTATGTCTGCTGTGTGGCACTGCTGTTTTTCATGCTGGGGACACAGCAGAGAACAAAATGCAAAGAACCCCTGTCCCCACGGAACCAACATTCTAGTGGGGCAGCCTACCAGAATGTTCTCTGAGCTGTCGAGCACTGTGCACATTTAAGGAATTACACTTACTCAAAGGTAATGCTGAGTGTGACCTGTGTAATACAGATGGGGAAACTACATCCCAGAGGCTATGCAAGCAATGGCAGCACTAAGAAGAGAAGGGAGGTCACTTCCTAATTCTGTTCAGAGTTTGTTAGCTCAGGGAGAAATGTGCCCATTTGAAAATTGTCATGGCTGCTGAAAATTGCCAAGAGCAGAAACTCTCTGAAAGAATATTCACCAGGTCTTTCTGGGGGAAGGATGGATTTCAGGTGAACTTCCACTCTTCTGTATTGTTTGAATACTTAATAGTCAATGTGTATAATTAGCATAATGACTTTTATCATTTGAAAAAAAGATAAGACTTAAGGGTTGAAACAGAACCATAGCTGCGGAGTTAGGAGCAAATTGAGTCTCTGTGTGTCGCCCCAGGTAGAGTGCGGTGGTGTCATTGTAGCTCTCACTGTAACCTCCAACTCCTGGGCTCAAGCAAAAAAGTCCTCCCGCCTCAAGCCTCCTGAGTAGCAGCTGGGACTACAAGCGCACCCTATTGACCTCCAGCTAATTTTTCTATTTTCAGTAGAAACAGAAACTCTTGCTCAGGCTGGTCTCAAACTTCTGACTTCAAGGCATCCTGCTGCCTTGGCCTCCCCGAGTGCTAGGATTATAGACGTGAGCCACCAGGCCCGGCCAACACCATGATTCTGTTAGGGGAAAAGTTGATCACTGCATTTGGTATTCAGCCTCCTCTTGCCTTTCTGACTTTCTCTGTCTCTTTCTCTCTCTCTTTTTTTTTTTTTTTTGAGACAGAGTGTCGCTTTGTTGTCCAGACTAGAGTGAGTGCCGTGGCGTCAGCCTAGCTCATAGCAACCTCAAACTCCTGGGCTCAAGCAATCCTCCTGCCTCAGCCTCCTGACCTCAGCCTCCTGAGCAGCTGGGACTACAGCTGGGACGCCACCATGCCCGGCTAATTTTTTCTATATGTATTAGTTGTCCAATTAATTTCTTTCTATTTATAGTAGAGACGAGGTCTGGCTCTTGCTCAGGCTGGTTTCGAACTCCTGACCTCAAGCAATCCACCTGCCTCAGCCTCCCAGAGTGCTAGGATTACAGGCGTGAGCCACCACGCCCGGCCTGTCTCTTTCTCAAATCCATACTCTCCTCCAGTTTTCCCAGCCCTGCGCAAATGCTGGCACACCCATGCAAGCACATGCATTTCAGTGCATCATGATTTCCAGTTGGATTTCATTACTAAGCAGCTACTTCCCTGCTCATTTTCTCACCTTTCTCTTGCACATTACAGAGAACCAATTTATATCATCCCCAAAAGTTTTTAACAGAAGCACAAAAAGCAAGCAATCTACTTAAATTTTTTATTGTGGTAAAACACATAATATTTATCATTGTAACCATTTCAAAATGTACACCTTGATGGCATTAAATACATTCACAATGTTGTGTAACCATCACCACTTTCTATACCTAAAACTCGTCAACAACAAAAATTCTGTACCTACTAAATCATAGCCTCCCCTTTGCTCCTCTCTTCAGCTCCTGGTAACCTCTCTGTCCTTTTTTCTATGAATTTGCCTCTTCTGAGTACCTTATGTATGGAATCATACAATCTTTGTCCTTCTGTATCTAGATTATTTCACTAAGCATAATGTTTTCAAAGTCTATCCACATTTTAGTGTATATCAAAATTTCATTCCTTTTTATGGATGAATATTATTCCATTGTATGAATATAACACATTTTATTTATTCATTCATCTGTCAATGGACATTTGGGTTGTTTCTGCCTTTTGGCTATTGTGAATAAGGCTGCTACGAACACGGGTGTACAAATATCTGTTTGAGTCCCTGCTTTCAACTCTCTTGGGTATATACCCAATTGCTAGGTCATACGATAGTTCTATGATTAACCCTTGAAGCAACTCACTTTTGGGGATTTAAAAAAATTCTTTATACTCCTACTTCATTTCATAAAGGATTTGAGGTACTTAGAAAAATACACACAATAAAAGAGATAAAGAGTTAAAGGAACTGGAGTAAAGGGAAAATTAGAGTAAGAGCCCTCTGGTTAGAGCTTGGGCGGGGCAATCTGCTCCAAGAACAAACGAGGGTGTGGGGCATGCTGCTAGCACTTTCAAAGGGCGGCTTCCTTTACAGATGACTCCCATTCCACACGCCGGCCGAGCTGCCTCTCCAAATGAACACTTCACGTGGGCTTCGCTGCGCACATGAACCGTGTGGAAGCTGACACCATAACCTTAACCACAGCACGTTTCTCATGGATTCCCAGACCTCCAGCTGGGCGGGTCCTTAGAATTATCTAGGGCAACCCTCTCCATTTCCAGATGAGGAAAGTAAGATTCAAAGAGGTCAAGTGTCCCGTGGAAAGACACAGAATGTGTAAGCAGCAGAATTGAAATTCAAACCCACATGCCCTGCCGCCAGCCTAGTTCCTGTGGGTTACTACAACGCCTCTCATTTCCATAACTTGGCTTTCCTTTGCTTTAGCCATGCAAATTTACTTGTTTGCAAAATGTGCTGGCTGTACGAAATCATGTTCTCATTCTTTTTAAACTGTTCCAGTAGTTATGCAGTTTTAAAATTCTGAAGGCTAAAAGTACTATTTGATGGTACTAAGCAAGGTGGACATTAACTGTGACATGGGTGAGATGTCACAAATCCTGTTGCTGAAGCTTGAGCTATGTTTCTTATTTTAGAAAACTTTCCATTAGTTGGTTCCCCAAATAGGAGTGTTGCTTCCTGGTTTCCCTTGGTGATTTTTGAAATTTTGCTTAAACATTAGTTTCCAGATGAGATTCTACACAATTCCAGCATAGCCGGGCTTGCTAATGACCAGAGCTATTAACAGCCCGTGATAGACCCTGTATCAGCCAAGTATTTACCCAACTCACGGTCACAACAGGCTGGGGGGACAGATTCAAGGGCTTGCACTCCAGCTGAGTTTCTGTTTTGATGTTAACGTGATGTTAATAGCCGCTTGGTTTTGTTCATGCTCATTGATTTTTCTGACATATTTCATCCTTCCTTTAACCAGCCACCCTCAGAGACATTGCAACTTCCTCGCTTCCCTCCATGAGTCACCTAAAAGCACACTGGTGGTTTCCAGGACTTCCTTAATGTCTTTCAAGATGTGTCTGTGTAAACTTACAGGCTTTCACTGGAAGAAGTTTGACAGGTCTCACTCAACTTTAATTCAATTTCACAAACACGGTAAATGTAGGGAGGGTGGCAGTGGACTCTAGAACAAGACTGGCCTGGTCCAAATCCCAACCCTTACACAAAAAATTACATAGAAAAGTAGCAACATTACATATTCTTATCATGGACATTTTTAAACAAGATGGTAGCATATCACTTTGGTGTTCCGTATGGATACTCGTTGCTATATGATTACCCCTGAATACCACTGTTTTCATCTAGAATTTGTTAAATGCCACCATCCATTAATTCACCAACATTTATTGAGCACTTACTGTATTCTAGGCACCATACTAGGCACTTGGGATATAAATGTGATACAGACACAAATTGTTACTATATCATTCTTCAAAGCCTTCCCGCTTCCTACACTTTTATGCTCCACTCATTTTAGCCTACTTAGAAGGGGATCGTCTAGCCCCAGTCAAGAAGTGGGTCCTATAGCCCCGACCAACATCTTGCTACAACTTCATGAGACTCCAGAGCCAGAGCCACCCGACTAAGCCACGCCCAAATTACTTACATGTGCCAGATTAAAAAAAAAAAAGGCTACTGTTATTTAAAATCTCTTAAGTTTTGAAGTCCTTTGTTAAGTAGCAAAAGATAACTAAAACATTGGCCATTACGATGAGGTGGCCAACTTTATTGGGGGTACCCAAATGTGGTCTGAGTTTCCCAGGCCACCTCTGCCCACGGGTGCAACAGGGGACACAGCAGGAATATTACTCAGATTTCACCGGCTCCTGCCTCTTCTGCTGAGGCAAGACCCGTAACCACAATCTTTTGTCAATTAAGCATTCCCCCTACTCCTGTAGGAAAATAAAGTGTGTTTGAGAATCGGGAGAAGAGGGATAGGTCTCACACGACCTCATGAACGAGGCTGTTCCTTCGGGTGCTGTTTTGCTCTCTCTCTGGGTACTTACTTGCCGCCCGCGCGGTTCAGGATACCACTGTCTCCTGCTAGGCGCCACTGCTGCCGCTAGGGGTCAGTGTCCCGGCCACGCCCCGCGCCTCCCAGCGGGCTCTGCTCCCGCTTTCCCCGTTGCCTCTGCAGAGCTCACACGACCGAAGCGCGGCCGCTCTGTGATGACGTGGAGGGAAGACACTTCTCTCCTCTTCAGTACACTCTCCTTGCCTAAAGGTTTGTAGATATTTTAGTGATATAATTCAGTTTTCACTCACAACCGTCTCTCTCCTCAGGTCTCAGACACGTGTCCAAGCGGGGCAGGGCCGAATCGAGTGACTCTTACGTTGTCGTCAGGATTCTCAGTTCCCTCAGTGAGCCAGACTTTGTTGCTGGGCCAGGTTCGACCTGGGTACAGGCAGCTGTAAGGTCACTTACAGGTCACTTCAGGTCAGTGTGGCCGTCCTAAGCAGGGAGAGGACTTCCGGTTTGGAAGACGCAACTCCCAGGGAAGACTCTGGTTGGCTGGGCGTGGGTCTCAGGCCCGCCTCGGCATTGGAGAGGGGGAAGGCCGGCCACTGTGATCCACGGCCCACCGGCATCGCATGGAGTGCCCAGAGGAAGGAGTCCTGCACTGGCCCTCAGAGGTGGGTGGCTGGTGGTGGGAGTGGCGGGCGCCGGCAGATGATAAGACAACAGCTCTCCGCTGTAGTCCGGTTCCCCCGCCTGCCTAGGCATCCAGGTCCGACCTCCAGCAGTGGACCCGGCAATCCCAGCTGTTCAAGGACAGGATCCCTGCTGCTGCGGAGCCTGCAGGCTCCAGAGTCGGGTTCACCTGCACCACTTTCTCTGACTCATCCAACTGCCCCTTCCTGAGATGAGTCCAGGGGTAAGACTGTCATGACGTTTGCACCTTCATCATCTTCTTTCTAGATGTCCCTGAATGTTTCTCTCTGAGTTGCCTTTCCCTGCACCCTATGACTGCTCCTACCCTTCAAAAATTACTCCCTCGTAAGTGACTAAAAGCACATGCAGATTCATAACCTCCAGCCCAGTCCTCGGCTTTATAAACCCAGCTGAAGTCATTTTAGGGCAAGGTGCTCTGAAGGCCAGTGTCAATTTTACATAACGCAGGTATGGCAGTCTCCCCCTTCCTATGTCCCTTGTAGCTGTGAGGTAAACAGAAAGTTGCTCTTTTTATGACCAGGGGACTCTTACTCTGCTGACAGCAAGCTCATAGGCCCTTCTGCTGCTGCCAATAACCTCCAATGACTGGGTCTAGAAACTAACCCTTCCTTGTGGGATGTGACACTCACCAGTGTCCCCACAGGATGCCTGAGGGTGTACTCTGTGTGCAGCATGCCTTGCCATCTTCCTTGGGCTGCTGAGCAGACAAGCAGCAGTGGACAGTCAGGTGATTCTTCAAAGAGCAGGATGCTAGGGGGGGCAGGCGTTCTAATGATACTGTGTTGTCATCACCTCAAACAATGTAAGGGGAGACTGTTGCTGTATTAGTTTGCTAGAACTGTGACAACAAAGTGTCACAAACTGGGTGGCTTAGAGCAGCAGAGATGTATTGTCTCATAGTTCTGAAGGCAAGAAGTCCAAAATCAAGGTGTCCACAGGAACACGTTCCCTCTGAAGGTGCAAGGAAAGGAAGGATGTGGTCCAGGCCTCTCTTCGTTGGCTCTATTTTTTTTTTTTTTCTTTTTTTGAGACAGAGTCTCGCTCTGTTGCCCAGGCTAGAGTGCCATGGCGTCAGCCTAGCTCACAGCAACCTCCAACTCTTGGGCTCAAGCAATCCTTCTGCCTCAGCCTTCCGAGTAGCTGGGACCACAGGCATGAACCACCATGCCCGGCTAAGTTTTTCTATATATTTTTAGTTGGCCAATTAATTTCTTTCTATTGTTAGTAGAGACGGGGTCTTGCTCTTGCTTAGGCTAGTTTCAAACTCCTGACCTTTAGTGATCCTCCTGCCTTGGCCTCCCAGAGTGCTAGGATTACAGGCGTGAGCCACCACGCCTGGCCTCTTCGTTGGCTCTAGGTCTTCGGCTTGTGGCCTCACAGCCCCAGTCTTCACCCAGGGTGCTCCTGTGTACATTTGTCTGCAACCCAGATTTCCCCTGTCTATAAGGACACCAGTCATGTTGGATTGGAGTCCACAGTAATGACCTTATTTTGACTTGATTACCTCTGTAAAGGCCCTATCTTCAAATAAGTATTGAGTTAGGTATTGGAGGTTAGGACTCCAACATATTTGTCATGGGGAGGGGACATAATTCAACCCAAAAGAGTTGTGAACCTGGGCCTTCAAAATAAGGTGTCCTGTGGGATTGCTTCCCCTCCCCCCCCTCTCTCTTTCTGCACACCAAGCTCTCCTCTTCCAGGCACCTGCCTCTTCCACATCCTCTGGTCCAGGACTCCTGTGCCCCTTCAGGTGATAAGGAGGTCCTCGCCCACAGGAAGAGGAGGAGGTCTCTTCTGGGAGTTCGTCTCCTGCCAGTGGAGGCCCATGTGCTGAGCTCTTTTTATTCTGGAGGGCGAGTGCCTGCATGGTGGGGGGTGGCATTTCAGTTCAGTCTCCTTGCCAGCAAAAGGGGTGACAAATCTGCTCACCACTTTGCCCAAAAAGCTGGCAAATCACTCCACGATGAACACTGGCAAATCTCTCCTGGTTGGCTTGCTTGTTTTGTGCAGAGCTGAGTTAGTTGCTTTCGCCTGCTCAGGGCAACCCCCCATCAAGGGGCCCTGCGCCTCTCTTGCCTAGTCTTTCTTCTTCCCCCTCACTCCCTTCTCCCATCCCCTCTCCTCCCAAAGGCACCCACTCGAGAATTTGCTACAGGCCCTTGGCAAGTAGGAAGAGTTGTTTTATTTGTACATTTTTTTTTTTTTTTCAGACAAGGTCTTGCTCTGTTTCCTGGGCTTGAGTTCAGTGGCGTCATCATAGCTCACTGCAACCTCAACCTCCCGGCTAATTTTTATTATTTTTATAGAGATGGAATCTAGCTCAGGCTGGTCTTGAACTCCTGACCTCAAGCAATTCTAGACACTGCACCAGGCCTGTACTTTTTTTGATTTATATTAATATAAATGGTATATTGCTGTAGATATTATGTTTCTTACTTTTATTGCTCTACTGATATTCCTCTTGCTAATATGATTTTATCCTCACTCCTTATGCACCATAAGCTCTGATGTTTGCTGGGTTAAGGAACAGTTGACTCCTGCCTGGGTCAGCTAACATGATAAGAGCCTTGAAAGTAGCTGTTAATATCAGTGATGCTGGCCGGGCACAGTGGCCACACCTGTAATCCTAGCACTCTGGGAGGTGGAGGCAGGCGGATTGCTCCAGGTCAGGAGTTCGAAACTAGCCTGCACAAGAGTGAGACCCCGTCTCTGCTATAAATAGAAAGAAATTAATCGGCCAATTAATATATATAGAAAAAATTAGCCAGGCATGGTGGTGCATGCCTGTAGTCCCAGCTGCTCGGGAGGCTGAGGCAGCAGGATTGCTTGAGCACAGGAGTTTGAGGTTGCTGTGAGCTAGGCTGATGCCATGGCACTCACTCTTGCCTGGGCAACAAAGTGAGACTCTGTCTCAAAAAATAAAAAAAAAATATCAGTGATTCTCTCCTCCACATCCTGGAAGGGCGGTCCTGGTCTGATTAGATTGACTTCTCATTCCACATCTTTCCACACATCCCCCACGGAAAGGGCAATGGGGAGTTTCCCACAACATCTCATGTGGCCCAGACACTTAAAAATGCACTGTGGTCATGCTAAATGATGCCGTGAGGACACAACCGGCCAAGTTCAGAATGTGGGGATTCTGTAGGACAAATGGCCTGCTTTCTTTTTTTTTTTTTTTTTTTTGAGACAGAGTCTCACTTTGTTGCCCAGGCTAGAGTGAGTGCCGTGGCGTCAGCCTCGCTCACAGCAACCTCAAACTCCTGGGCTCAAGCGATCCTCCTGCCTCAGCCTCCCGAGTAGCTGGGACTACAGGCATGTGCCACCATGCCCGGCTAATTTTTTCTATATATATTAGTTGGCCAATTAATTTCCTTCTATTTATAGTAGAGACGGGGTCTCGCTCTTGCTCAGGCTGGTTTTGAACTCCTGACCTCGAGCGATCCACCCGCCTCGGCCTCCCAGAGTGCTAGGATTACAGGCGTGAGCCACGCGCCCGGCCGGCCTGCTTTCTTTAACACAGAAATGTCATAAAGATAAGGCAAGGGGATAAGGGAGAAATGACAATGGATTAAGAAATACTTAGACATATCAACCAAATGCAATGTGTGAATCTTATTTAGATCGTAATGTGAAAAGGCCAACTGTAAAAAGATATTTTTTAAGATAATGGGGCATTTTAAATACAGAGTGGGTATTAGATGAGATTATAGAGTTATTAATTTTGTTAGGTATGATAATTTCATTCTCGATATGGCAGATATGAAGTTCTCATTTGTTAGAGATTGACACAGAAGCATTTACCGGTGAAATGATTATGGTGTCTAGTGTTTGCTTTAAGAGTCTAGTATAAGGACTGGCACGCTTTTTACCTAAAGAGGCAGACAGCAAATATTTTAGCATTTGAGGGCCAAAGGGTCTCTGTCACAAGCACTTACCCTTCTGTTGTAATGTGAAAGCAGGTATAGACAGTATACAAATGAATGGGCAGGGCTATGTTCCAATAAAACTTTATTTACAAATACAGGCAGGCTGTATTTGGAGTAGTCATTTGCCCAGCCCAGCTCTACCGCAAAGAAAGGAGAGGGGCAGACAGGTGAAAAAGATGGACAAAATGTTGGTAATTGTTGAAGGTTGATCATGGGTACCTGATGGTTCATTTCACCATTTTCTCCATTTTTGTGTACGTTTAAATATTTCCATGATAAAAAAAATTTAAGTGCACTGAAGAGATCTTTTTGCAGGGAGAGAGAAGCCTTTGATCTCTCTCCTTCTCTCCTCATCTCCCTCACTTCCTGTACTTTTGCCTGTCTTTTTCCCAGGTCTGTTTTGGAAACCCACCGACACACACACACACACACACACACACACACACACACACACACACGCGATTTCACTTCAATATATTTTTCTAATCAGAACTTCCTAAACAGTCCCACGCTGCTGTTTGAGGAATGTAGCCAAACTCTGCAGTAAATCCTTATGATGGGGTCTCATATTATTTCCCAGGAAACTCACAGGCCTGTTTCCTTGCAGAGTTTTATACCCTTGTAAACACTTTTCCTAAAATGGAGATTCCAGTCCTGGGGCTGAAGCACGCCAGGCTCAGGAAAGCATTGTTGTTTTCTTACTTCTCAGCAGGAAATAGGAATGTCCCAAGGAGGATTAGAAAATTATGAGGCAGTGCTCGTGAAGGGCTGGGAACTTCAACTGGAATTTGGAATCTGGTCAGAACATCTGGGAGTTCAAAGAAAAAAATGTTAAGCTATTCATTGGCCTCCATAAATTCTCTTAAAAATGGATAATTATGAAATAAAGAGAAGACAATGGGGCATGTTGTCAGAGGAAAGGAATTGCACATATCTCCCATGAAACTGCCCTGGGTGTGTAGGCTGAGAACATATGTTGTTTCCCATCATGGGTGGCAGATCTACTAAGGAAAGAACAGCCAGTGACCCTTCTTTTCCAAGATCCTTTAGGGCACAAAAGGGGTACCTACAAAAGCTGGCCCTACCCCATCCTGGCCCTGCAGGAACTAGATACTCTCTCTTTGTCCTCCACAGCACGTGCCTCTGTCCCTACGTGGCAGGATCTTCTTCTTCCCTGTCACTTACCCAAGCCCAGCTCTCCATTTGAGGTCTAGCTCTTGGTGAGAGAGAGGCCTTTCCTGACCACACCAGCTCCTGGTACCCTTTCTCTTGTAGCTTCTCCAGCACATTCTGACAGTACCACCTGTTATCACATAATTGTGTATTGCCCTATGTGCCATGTAGGATGATGTAGCAGATGACCCCAATTCTCAGTGGCTTAACACAATAAAAGTTATTTGTACTCATGTCACAATACAAAGTGACTGCTCCTGGCCAGGTAAGCATTGCACACAATCCTTCAGGGTCTCCCAAGCTCTTTCCACTTTGCAACTCCACCCTCTTCTAGGTCTTTGGAGTCCTTGTTATTTTGTCATAAGATGAGGAAAGACAGCATGAGGAAGGTATATCTACTTCTTCTGTACAAAATTACGTCTGTGAGATTCATCCATATTGTGGCATGAAGCAGTAGTTCATTCTTTTTCATTGCTGTATAATATTCCATTGCATGAATATACCATGATTTATTAATCCATCAGTTTGGGACTACTATTAATAAAGCTATTATAAATGTGTCTCATGGCATACATTTCTATTTGGTACATAGGAGTAGAATTGCTGGGTCATAGGGCATATATATGTAAAGTTTTAATAGATGTTGCCAAATAGTTTTCCAAAGTGATTATACAAATTGATATGCCCACCAACACTACAGGAGACCTCTAGCTGCTCCATATGCTTGCTAACACTTGGTATTATCTCTTTTCAGTTAGCTATTCTGGTGTGGGTGCAATGATATCTCCTTGTGGTTTTAATTTGCATTTTCTTAATTTTTATTCAGCACTTTTTTTTTATAGGTTCATTGGCCACTCAGTATTCTCTTTTGAGAATTTACTATCCAAGTATTTGGCCTACCTTTTTATTGGGCAGTCTATCTTTTTCTTGTTGATTTGAAGAAGTTATTTCTATATTCTGGATACAAATTCTTTTCTTTTTTGAGACAGAGTCTCGCTTTGTTGCCCAGGCTAGAGTGAGTGCTAATTTTTTCTATATATATTAGTTGGCCAATTAATTTCTTTCTATTTATAGTAGAGACGGGGTCTCACTATTGCTCAGGTTGGTTTCGAACTCCTGAGCTCAAACAGTCCTCCCGCCTCGGCCTCCCAGAGTGCTAGGATTACAGGTGTGAGCCACCGAGCCCGGCCGATACAAATTCTTTATCAGTTATATGCATTGCAATTATATTCTCACATTCTGATGATTTCCTTTTCACCCTCTTCATGGTATTTTTGATAAAGAGAAGTTTTGAATTTTAATGAAATATGGAGTATCGATCTTTCCTTTTATGGTTAGTACTTTTTGTGTACTGTTCAAGACCTTTGCCTACCCCAAGGTCATGAAGATATTTTATGTTATCTTGGTTTTGGTATGATATAAAGATCAAGGTTCATTTCTTCCCATTTGAATAACCAATGGATCAGCAACATTTATGGAAAAGATTCTTTTCCCCACTGCATTGCAATGGGACCTTTGTTGCAAATCAGATGGGTATATATGCGTGGGTCTATTTGGAGACTCTATTTTATTTCAGTGTTTTGTTCTATTTGTCTGTGCTTTCTCTGATATAACATACTTTTAGTTACTGCAGCTTAAAAATCAATTTATATCCTCTATCTTTGTTCTTCCTCAAGATTGTCTTTGCTATTCTTGGCACTTTGCATTTCAGAATTTGCTTGTCAGTTTTTACACATATGCATATTTTTTTCTTTTTTTTCTTGAGACAGTCTCACTCTGTTGTCCTGAGTAGAGTACCATGGCATCAGTCTAGCTCACAGCAACCTCAAACTCCTGGGCTCAAGCGATCCTCCTGCTTCATCCTCCTGAGTAGCTGGTGCTACAGGCACGTGCCACCATGCCTGGATAATTTTTCTACTTTTAATAGAGATGGAGTCTCTCTCTTGCTCAGGCTAGTCTCAAACTCCTGAGCTCAAGCAATCCTCCTGCCTTGGCCTTCCAGAGTGCTAGGATTATAGGCTCGAACCACTATGCCCAGCCTTGTAGTTTTCCATATAGGGGTCTTACACATCTTTTGTTGTTTATTCCTAAGTGGTATTCTTTGTTAATGAAACTTTTTATTTTGAAATTTCACTTTCAGGCCGGGTGCGGTGGCTCACGCCTGTAATCCTAGCACTCTGGGAGCCGAGTCGGGCGGATTGCTCGAGGTCAGGAGTTCGAAACAAGCCTGAGCAAGAGCGAGACCCTCTCTCTACTATAAATCGAAAGAAATTAATTGGCCAACTAATATATATATAGAAAAAATTAGCTAGGCATGGTGGCGCATGCCTATGGTCCTAGCTACTTGGGAGGCTAAAGCAGGAGGATTGCTTGAGCCCAGGAGTTTGAGGTTGCTGTGAGCTAGGCTGACACTATGACACTCTACCCTGGGCAACAAAGTGAGACTCTATTTAAAAAAAAAAAGAAATTTTACTTTCTAAGGAATTACATTTTATTTTTTCCCAGTACCACTGAGCTTCGATCCAGTGATCTGACACATTTGTTTCTTAGCCATTTTGGCCATTTCTACTCACAGTTCATTAGTCAGAATGTACTGGGCACACCTAAATCCAAGGGAGGCTAGGAAGGTGAGTCTATCTGAGTACTTGGGAAGAAAAGGAAAGAAATTTTAGTGAACACAGAAGATTCTCCTATACTTGGTGTAGAGATTTTAACATTCATTGGTTTACCCTGTTACCTTACTATGCTGTGAGAAGTTTGAAAGCTCTCCTGGTTTTAAGCCAAGACCAGCCAATTTGTAACTTGAGGAGTCCTTCAGAATAATTTGAAAAAGATTGCATTAAAAGGTAAACTCTTGGGCCAGGCACAGTGGCTCACACCTGTAATCCTAGCACTCTGGGAGGCCAAGGCAGGAGGATTGCTCAAGGTCAGGAGTTCAAAACCAGCCTGAGCAAGAGCAAGACCCCATCTCCACTAAAAATAGAAAGAAATTAACTGGCCAACTAAAAATATATAGAAAAAATTAGCCGGGCATGGTGGCGCATGCCTGTAAGCCCAATTGCTTGGAAGGGTAAGGCAGAAGGATCACCTGAGCCCAGGAGTTTGAGGTTGTGAGCTAGGCTGACGCCATAGCACTCTAGCCGGGGCAACAGAGTGAGACTCTGTCTCAAAACAACAACAACAACAACAAAAGTTAAAATCTTATAAATATTCCATTCTCATATAATGGAATATCATTCAACACTAAAAAGAAAAGAGTTTTCAAACCATGAAAAGACATGGAGGAAACTTAAGTGCATATTACTAAGTGAAAGAAGCCAATCTGAAAAGACTACATACTATATGATTCCAACTGTATGACTCTCTGGAAAAAGTATAATTATGGAGACAGTAAAAGATCAGTGGTTGCCAGGGGCTGGGGAAAGTGGAGTTGAACTGTCAGAGCACAGAGGATTTTTAGGGCAGTGAAACTATTCTGCATGAAAGTTATGATAGATACATGTCATTATAGATTTGTCAAATCCCATAGAATGTACAACACCAAAAGGGAACTTGTATGTAAACTATCGACTTTGGGTAGTAATCCAATGTGTAATGTAGGTTCATTGATTATAACAAAAGTACCACTCTGTTATGGGACGTTGAGAGTGGGGGAAGTTGTGCATGTAGGGGTAGGGAGTATAGGTACTTTCTGCACAATTTTACTGTGAATCTAAAACTGCTCTAAAAAGTGAACTCCATTAAAAAAATTTAAACTCTGTCACTTTGGATAATCGTATGTCCCCAAGGTGATCAAAAACACACATGCAAAACATCACTTTGAAGTCACATGGTAGCATTCTATCCACAGTGAACATAAAATGATCCAAATTATGCTTATGTTTCTATGATTGTAGATGTAGCATTGAAATAAAATGCGTGCCATATCTCCTAAAGAACTTGCAGGCCATACTTCCTACCCCACTCCACCCTTCATTTATATTATAACTTCCCAAAGTTGAAGTCACACATAAGCAAGCTATAACCTGCCAAAGCCAGTTGCTTTACCTTGTGAATAACCTGATTCTAAATTTTTGCTCTTGTAATGTTGCAATCTCTTGTTTTGTTTAATTGCTGTTACCAAACACAAATGATTTACTTCCTCATTCTAATTTGCTTATAAAATAATGAAGCAGCTAAGCCCATGGTTCAGTCACTGAATCCTTTTGGGCACTGCTGAGTTCTGATTGGTTGAATTCCAGGGTGGTCTTTAGTCTGTCAGCAATGGGCATTCACTAGAATACAAGATTCAGTTAACTGCTTTTTTTTTTTTTTGAGACAGAGACTCACTCTGTTGCCCTGGCTAGAGTGCTGTGGCGTCAGCCTAGCTCACAGCAACCTCAAACTCCTCGGCTCAAGCAATCCTCCTGCCTCAGCCTCCCAAGTAGCTAGCACTGCAGGCATGCACCACCATGCCTGGCTAATTTTTTCTATATATTTTTAGTTGTCCAATTAATTTCTTTCTTTTTAGTAGAGACGGGGTCTCGCTCTTGCTCAGGCTGGTTTCGAACTCCTAACCTTGAGCAATCTGCCTGCCTTGACCTCCCAGAGTGCTAGGATTACAGGCGTGAGCCAGCGCACCCAACCAGTTAACTGCTTTTATAGGGATCAGATGTGCTCTTGTTTTATCTTTCACGCAAGACATAATTTTATTTGTGTTGAGTACATACCTGCAATGTTCAGTTCAATGGATTCCAAAGTTGGGATACTCTAAAACACAATGTTTCCCCGTAAACAACAGCTGAAAACACAGGCACATTTCCACTGCATGTTTTGTGTAGACTAAGCTTCTGTAAACAAAGGAGAGACTTGAGTGTAAATAGAGTGTTGCCTGGTCTCACATCAGGCCCAGAGGATATATGATGGAAGGTGTCAAGGTATGAGGCTCAGGTATGATTCTGCAAGCCTTTGAAGTAGGCCCTGAGTTTCCTTACAGGGGAGCTGCACCTAGTTATACTTGTAGCCCCCCACTCCAAGTCTAGCACAGAGAGGGAGGAGGGAAGTATTCTGGAATGAAGGATGAGCTCAGGGGGTCCTTTCCTCCTACAGAACTTTATCCTCACTTTCTCTCACCTTCCCTCTCTCTCCCTCCTCTTTCCTCCTCTCTCACATCTTGGCAGATGTTTAGCTAAATGAGCTTTGTAACAGAAGCTCTTCTCACCTCCCAGCCCCTCCTCCACTCCACCCTCCACTCCCAGCACACAGGGCTTTGCCCTTAGACGACCTTTGTAATTTTTGTTTGTTTTGCTTTGTTTCAATATATTTCTAAAGTGTTTTTTTTTTCCCCCGTGTGCTGGTGAATCACATCTGAACTTTAATCAGTGGCTTAAATTAAAATGAGAGGGCCCGAAATGGAAGTGCTGAAGGCAAATTGGCCCCTGCGGGTCCAAGGAAAATAATCCTTTCTCCTCTGTGGTGTCAACTGGAGTTCTGGCTGGGCACATTCTGGTCAGAATTCTTGGTGTGTGTTGGGGGGTGTGTGTTGTGTTTTTGTTTTTCAGGGAAACCAGGATGGTGGAGCAGGGTAACCTGGAATAACAGAGAGAGTTAGGCTGTTACAGAATATTCCCACCATCTGTGCTTCACTTAGGACTAGAGACCTAGTGAAAACTAAAGAGGACAAAGAAACTCTCCTAAAAAGCAATTTCTGAAGAAACTATTAGGTTAATAATGGGTTACTATGTTACCACTTTTTTTTTTTTTTTGAAATAGGGTCTCTGTCACCAAGGCTAGAGTACAGTGGTGCAATCACAGCTCACAGCAACCTCAAACTCCTGGGCTGAAGCAATCCTCCTGCTTCAGCCTCCTGAGTAACTGGGACTATAGTATAGGCATGTGCCACCTATAGGCACGTCCAACTCAATTTCTACTTTTTGTAGAGACAGGGTCTTACTATGTTGCCCAGGCTGGTCTCAAATTCCTGGCCTCAAGCAATCTTCTTACCTCAGCCTCCCAAAATGCTAGGATTACAGGTGTGAGCCACTGTGCCTAGCCCCACTTTTTAGATTATATAGAATTTTAGAACAAAGTTAAGAATAATATGAGCCACCATTTATTGACCATTTACTATGTGCTAGGACTTTTTAATCCTTACAAGAATCTTATGGGGTAGATATTGTTATTAAATTGAGGTTTGCCCCATGTGCCCTAGCTAGGAAGGATGAAGCTGGGAAAAGGACAGTTTTGTTCACCTAATCTAATACTATTTGGTTGTGTTCATTTCTGTGGAGTTAATATAATTATAGGACAAAATAGATATCATTTCAGAAGGCAAGTATTGGTATTTTCACTTAATACAATTGTCTTAAAGGTTAAAAACAAGCTCTATCTGATTATCTCTGTATTCTGGTCAGTTGAGTAATTCCTCCCTGCAATTACTGGAAAAGGCATCCACAGATCGTGGACCCTGTGTGCCCCTGCTCTGGGAGCTGAAGGGAAGGTTTGGAACTGGGTTTGGCAGGCAGAGTCTGCTGACATTCTCAGAAGGCCCAGCAGGTGGCAGTGTTTCCCACGTAGGCCGAGCCCATCAGGATCTGCACAGAGCTCCTTAGGAATGTGAAGACAAATTTGTGGGAGCAGGAAGACCATACCGCCTGCTTATGTTGTAATTATTTTTAATTTGCCTTTTTATACATTTTATGTTTTAAACATTTTAGTAAAAATAAGCAGGGTAGGCTTGTGTGAAAATAGTAGAAATGGAGCAAGTGCCTTCTTCACCACATGTCACCAGCTGCCCTTGGCTGCCCAAGGCCCTCACCATGACGCTCCCCATGGACCTGTCCTGCAAGAAACACCCTGGGAAGATTATTTGCAACCCCCAGCTTCACCCACCTCTCCTGCCACCCCCATTGCCTACCTGCCCGTCTACTGCCCCACGTCCATGAAGGCCAGGTCCATGCAAATCAGGTAAGCCACTCCAGCCACCAGCTCAGTCATTCTCAGCTGCAGTTCCCCTGGAGAACCTAGCACACTTCCAGGGACACCGGGAGGCAGGCCCTCTGAGGACAGTTCTGACACCCAAACAAGTAACGGTGGCAGCTATTTGTGGTGAGGACGACATTTCAGCACATGTCGCACATCCTGAAGTCCCGGGATGGGTGATATGCTTCTTTTGATTTTGCAGACAGTCAGGGCTTCCTACTAAAAATGTAAATGGGCCCGGTGTGGTGGCTCACTCCTGTAATCCTAGCACTCTGGGGCCGAGGCGGGCGGATCGCCCAAGGTCAGGAATTCAAAACCAGCCTGAGCAAGAGCGAGACCCTGTCTCTACTAAGAAAATAGAAAGAAATTAATTGGCCAACTAATAATATATAGAAAAAATGAGCTGGGCATGGTGGTGCATGCCTGTAGTCCCAGCTACTTGGGAGGCTGAGGCAGGAGGATCACTTGAACCTAAGAGTTTGAGGTTGCTGTGAGCTAGGCTGACACCATGGCACTGTAGCCCAGGCAACAAAGTGAAACTCTGTCTCAAAAAAAAAAAAAGTAAATGTATCAGGCTGGGTGTGGGCATCAAACTAGGGTAGAAGTACTCTGGATGTGGAAGGGGGTTAGTTTGGGACAATTGATGACATGTCAGAGTGTGGATAAACATGGTAAGGAACCCCTTGGTAATTTTCCTAATGATAATCTAAAACATTTTTATATGTGAAAAGTCTATTAATTTTCAAGTTAATTAGAAAGTTAAACATTCCTAGAAATTTTGCTTTTATTTATTTATTTATTTTTTTGAGACAGAGTCTCGCTTTGTTGCCCAGGCTAGAGTGAGTGCCGTGGCATCAGCCTAGCTCACAGCAACCTCAAACTCCAGGGCTCAAGCAATCCTCCTGCCTCAGCCTCCCAAGTAGCTACAACTACAGGCATATGCCACCATGCCCGGCTAATTTTTTCTATATATATTAGTTGGCCAATTAATTTGTTTCTATTTATAGTAGAGACTGGGTCTCGCTCTTGCTCAGGGTAGTTTCGAACTCCTGACCTTGAGCGATCCACCCGCCTCGGCCTCCCAGAGTGCTAGGATTACAGGCGTGAGCCACTGCACCCGGCCCCCGAAATTTTGCTTTTAAAACAGACCACTTTAAATAACACCTTCAAGTTTTGCTCAGAAAGGAAGGCATCAGCGAGACAGGAGACGCTAGGAAATTTGAGGAGGAACTTTTTCCATCCTTTACCTGCTGTCAACTAACGTTAATGTGGACTGTTAAAGGCCTACTGGCATGATGGACACTATGTATACATTATATTGTTTAGTATTGGGCCATTTTATGGATAGAAAGCCAAGGCATGGTGCAGTCAGCTTTCCTGAGGTCACCAAACCTATAAGCGGTAGTCAGGATTCAAGAAATTTCTGCTCTTTCTACTTGACCACACTGCAGCTATTATTGCCAGACTAAACCAATATAATAAATCTTGGGTAAGTGACCAGTTACTGGAAATCTCCAAAAGTCTCCTCATCTTTGTCCCAAGTCTTTATTGAAATGCAAGGACAGGGGGTACAAATGTTTAGGTTACTTATATTGCCTTTGCCATACCCGAGTCAGAGCTTAAAAAAAAAAAAAAGAAAGAAATGCAAGGACAAAATTCTTATAGTCTATCTCCTGGCTTCCTGTGTTCTCAAATGCTCCCATGTGACAAATGCCATATTTACAAGGATATCATATTTCCGTACCTACAATCAGGACTGGTGTTTGGACATGAGGACTTCCGTGTGGGCTAGCAATATTCAACACTATCCCAAAAGGGGAGTTGCTTATCCCATGGGACACATGGCCATCACAGTGAAGCCCTGATTCAGACTGCATGTCCTTTTCAGTTCCCAGCACATACTATTTAGTACTCATCGCCTGTTCTGCATGCACTTCCTGGCAGCTCCTCCTACAGGTTTGGGTGTCCACATGCTTCTCTGGCTGACAGGAAGAGCGCCCTACCTGTCCTGTAGTTTCAAGTAGGATGGGGGATGACAAGCATCAACATGTTGGTCTTCAAGTGATGACAAAGGAAATGTAATCACATAGAGGCAGCTTGTTCTGCTCTCAGGCCTCTGCAGTCAGGGCCAGCACACTGAATTTGGTTTCCCTAGAATGGAAATGATACTTTCAAATCTATTAAACTGACATATTTTTGTTCTGCTTAAATCATAAAGCTATATGGTTCTCCACCCATTTGGTCAACAGGTTTCTATGCTTCAGGGAAAGAGAGATGCTGTTGAGAACAACCAGGTCATTGCTCAGTACTGGCTGTCAGATTCTTTTATTTATTTATTTATTTACACATACCAGTCATCTTTTATTTGGAGGTTAATTGTCACTAGGATATGAAAGGATTCCGCAACGATCGAGTTCCTCACAAAAGGTGCCAGGCCAAGAAGGTCAAGGTCATGAGTGCAGAGTGCACCCCCACACACACGGTCCCCTCTCAGTGGTACTTCCATCACCGCTCGTGTTTGAGCTCCTTGTAAGAAAGGCAGTAGTTGAAAAGCACATAAGCTGCCAGGAACATAGAAATCCAGCAAAACTCCACTTCTTCACATTGATGTACTCGTTGTAATACCAGGAGTAACCTCTTTGAAGGCTCCAACAGTGCCTTTAGGGGTGAAATCCCGCATCAAAGCAGCCTGAGCAAGAGCGAGACCCGTCTCTACTATAAATAGAAAGAAATTAATTGGCCAACTAATATATATATAGAAAAAATTAGCCGGGCATGGTGGCACATGCCTGTAGTCGCAGCTACTTGGGAGGCTGAGGCAGGAGGATTGCTTGAGCCCAGGAGTTTGAGGTTGCTGTGAGCTAGGCTGATGCCATGGCACTCTAGCCTGGGTAACAAAGTGAGAGTCTGTCTCGAAAAAAAAAAATCCAGCTTGGCAGCTCCCCTAGTTTGACATCCATGTGTTTCTTCTCTTTCACTGGTACGACTGATGCCATCTTGAAGCCCTGATGTCTGCTCTCAGATTCTTTTTTTTTTAATCCCTTGCAAAACAATAGTAGTGAACAGTGGTCTCCAAAATGGGGCGTGCCAAAGACAACACAATGGGGTGCAGAAAGCAAATATTAAAACTTCTATTTGGCCGGGCGCGGTGGCTCAGGCCGGGCGCGGTGGCTCACGCCTGTAATCCTAGCTCTCTGGGAGGCCGAGGCGGGCGGATTGCTCGAGGTCAGGAGTTCGAAACCAGCCTGAGCAAGAGCGAGACCCCGTCTCTACTATAAATAGAAAGAAATTAATTGGCCAACTAATATATACAAAAAATTAGCCTGGCATGGTGGCGAATGCCTGTAGTCCCAGCTACTTGGGAGGCTGAGGCAGGAGGATTGCTTGAGCCCAGGAGATTGAGGTTGCTGTGAGCTAGGCTGACGCCACGGCACTCACTCTAGCCTGGGCAACAAAGCAGGACTCTGTCTCAAAAAAAAAAAAAAAAAACTTCTATTTTCATTTTTTGTCTTATCCTTTCAAATGTCTGTTTTAGAAAATATGTTTTATTTTATTTTTTATTTATTTATTTTTTTGAGACAGAGTCTCGCTTTGTTGCCTAGGCTAGAGTGAGTGCCGTGGCGTCAGCCTAGCTCACAGCAACCTCAATCTCCTGGGCTCAAGTGATCCTCCTGATTCAGCCTCCCAAGTAGCTGGGACTACAGGCATGCGCCACCATGCCCGGCTAATTTTTTTTTCTATGCATATTAGTTGGCCAATTAATTTCTATTTATAGTAGAGACGGGGTCTCACTCTTGCTCAGGCTGGTTTTGAACTCCTGACCTGGAGCAATCCGCCCGCCTCGGCCTCCCAGAGTGCTAGGATTACAGGCGTGAGCCACCACACCCGGCCATGTTTTAGGAAATACGTTTTATAAAGCATGTAATATATTAGCACAGTAGTAAATGTATATGGTTTTGAGACTATACCATATATATACATATAAGTTACCATTACGAAGATACATGCATATGTACATATATATGTACATCCTCAATTTTTTGTTGTCAGGGATGCAGAATCAGAAATTTCAGGCCACTCATCTTGAAAGCAAGATTTTGCTTTAGGAGAGAATTTTTCCTCCTAAATTCTAAAAGCTCCCTTTAACTATCAAAAGTTTAGCTTAGAGTTCTCTGTGCTGACTTTCACTACAAGCCATAGGTAGAGATGACTTAAGGACCCACTCACCTAAGGAAAAAGTAGACTGTGTCTCCGGTGTGGGCAACTGGGAGAGAGAGGAGGAGAGGCAGAGGGTGTATGTGTGGCAGAGGGGCATATCCCACACCCCACTGGGGTAGGTTTAGGAGACCCCCAGAGTAGTGGGGCTGTTTCTTCTTTCCTCAGGCACCTTAGGCAAGGTCCACATCCAACATGGGCTGCCCAGCTGAAGGTGGGCGGCCGTGTGGCCTCAGCCCTGCACCCTGCAGAGGACTGCAGTGGCAGCTGGGGGGCTAAGTACTCAGAACCAGCGGATTACAGAAGTTGAGGCCATAAAATGTGAAAAACAAAGGACCAGAGGAATCACAAATGCAGGGGCCAGAAGAGCCAGGTGAGACCAGCTTCGCCTGAGTGAGCACTTGGCAGGCATGGGATGTTGGGGGACCTGACCAGACCAGCCACTCTGCAGTGAAGACCAAGAAGGACATGAGGACAGCCCCCAGCCCCTCCACCCCATGAGGACATGTGCACATCCCTTTCCATCCAGATGCTTCTACAGCCAGAAACCATCTGTTAGGGGATGACTTTGTCCCTCTCCTCCCCAGTTCACAAGTTGAATTCCTAATCTCTCGTACCTGGGGAGGTGACCTTCTTTGGAAGCAGAGTCATTGCAGATAGAATGAGTTAAGATGAAATCAGACTGGAGTAGGGTGGGCCCCTGATCCAATATGATTTGTGTCCTTATAAAAAGGGGATATATGGAGACAGATGAAGACAGGGAAAACACCACGTGAAGAGAGACAGGAGGAAGATGTCATCTACAAGCCAAGGAGAGAGGCCTGGAACAGATCCTTCCCTGCCAGCCCTCAGAAGGAACCAACCCTGCTGACACCTTGAACTCAGATTTCTAGTTTCCAGAACAGACAATAAATTCCTGTTGTGTAAGCCACTCAGTTTGTGGCACTTTGTTATGGCAGGGCTAGCACATGAATACACCATCTTTGCTACTAATCAAAGGAGGGGACAGAGAAATCTGAAAGACTCAATCATTATTCAAGAGGGGCTAGTATAACCTGGAAGAGACAGTGCTAAACAAAGATAATGAGTTCTCCTGAGCTACCTTTCGTAGACAAGTGGAAGTCCTCTGCCCCCACCAAAGGGCACAGAGGCCTTGGAGGAAGATAAGAATAGTCAGAGGTGAAAAGGGCTGGCCTTTTTTGCACATCCAAGTGTAGTGAATAAAATCTTAGCCCCACTATATTCCAGTCTCTCAGAGATACAGGCCCGTCCCCACCTGCTCTATCAGTGTGACCAGAGCCCACCCACCTGGATATTTTATTATTTCCAGGGTGGTCGCTCTTTTATAGTAGACAGTGGTCTCCTCACTCACTGCCTGAGTTCTAGGAGCAGGTTCCTACATTGTACGCAAGAGCAGTGGTGTGCTGGAGCCAGTTTGTACCATCTTACAAGAGCTAGCTGTTAAATTTTTGGGAATTTTGTGAGTTAGTGTTTAAACATAACCTATCCATTATTAAAAACCAAATTATAAGCATAACCAAATGAATGATATTTTTAAAAAAGTAATGCTCAAAAATCATCACTTCATAGTTATTATAGTTTACCATTACCTATGCTTTTCAGGTTATTTATATCTATTACATCTGTATGATGGAAATGCTTTATAATGAATTGCTACTGTGCATCTCTTTCCACTTCCATGTTCTGTGAAGTTGGATCAGTAGCTTGAAATCTATGATAGTGGGAGTATTTACACCATGGAAATTGGCGAATGCTATATATGAGCCCCCCATCATAAGGAGATCCAGTTGTTTACCAGCACACCATTGCATAGACGCTGACTTAGGCCTTGGGTCTATATTCTGATAAAATAGTAGATCAGCTGAAAAAGCTTGAGAAACAAGTATTGTCAGCTGTGCTCAGGTTTGATCTGGGACTTAAACTATCAAAGAGTGATGAGAACAAATCCAGTCTTCCACAGTTCCATAGAGGAGGGAGACTCCCAGAGAGGGTGATACCAGTGAGACCTGTCATGTCTTCCTAGAGTTGGGGTGAGAGACTAAACAAATAGCTACTCACCTCCATACCTTTGTTATCCTTTGCCGCTATTAAATAACAGTGCTGAACCAGGAACCTCTGAGCAGGTTTCCACTTAATAACTCCTATTCCTATAAAATACCCTGAAGTAACTCTTTTTTTTTTTTTTTTTTTTGCTCATAACAGACCTGGAGATGAAGTAACTCTTAATCCTGCTTCGTGGTAGCAAGAGAATGAGGGAATTCACATGGGCTCAAGGTCTCTAGGACTGAATCACAGTCCTCTGCAATCCATTCTACAAACACCCCTCCTCCACTAGCTGACATGGTATTTTAACTGGCCAGCAGAGCTGAGTCCTTGGGCTGCTCTCTTTGCATAGTAACAGGTGTAAAAATAGCAGGTGATAAGTGCCAGGCAAAAATGTCTCAGGGACCACAGCATTTATAGTTTGGGGGTGTGGGGGCTGACCTGGGCTTTTATCCAGCTCTATTGTTTACCAACTGTGTGGCCTTGGGCAAGGACAACATTTCTAGGCCTTCATTTTGAATGAGCAAGACATAAAGACTTAAGTATACATACAGTTGTCCCTTGATATCCATGGGAGATTGGTTCCAGGACCACCCCCTCCCCTGCAGATACCAAAATCCATTGATGCTCAAGTCCCTGATATAAAATTGGGCAGTGTTTGCATATAACCTACACACATCCTCCCTTATGCTTTAAATCATCTCTAGATTACTTATAATACCTAATTCAATGTAAATGCTATGTAGGCTGGGCGCGGTGGCTCACACCTATAATCCTAGCACTCTGGGAGGCCAAGGCAGGTGGATTGCTTGAGGTCAGGAGTTCGAAACCAGCCTGAGCAAGAGCGAGACCCCGTCTCTACTATAAATTGAATTAATTGGCCAACTAATATATATAGAAAAAATTAGCTGGGCATGGTGGCACATGCCTGTAGTCCCAGCTACTCGGGAGGCTGAGGCAACAGGATTGCTTGAGCCCAGGAGTTTGAGGTTGCTGTGAGCTAGGCTGACGCCAAGGCACTCACTGTAGCCTGGGCAACAAAGCGAGACTCTGTCTCAAAAAAATAAAAAAGCTATGTAAATAGTTGATATACCATATAGTTTAGGAAATAATGGCAAGAAAAATAAGTCTATACATGTTCAGTACAGATGCAATCTTTTTTCTCAAACATTTTCGATCCATGGTTGGTTGAATCCACAGATGTGGAACCCATGGATACAGAGGGCCAACTGATTTCAAAGTTACAATGTTAACTAATGCAATGGAGGGATAAATAGTACTTTCACTATAAGGAAATCTGGGGGGTCACAGGGATGGTGACATGTCTAAATCCTTGTCTACAAGAGAACAACAGAAGCTAAGCATATTATTTAGAGATAGGAGGTAACTCCCAGAAGCAGTAAAAAGAGAACAAGTAAAAGTAGTTCCCTTTAGGGTTTGGGAGGTAAGGCGGGGAGAGATGCAGCTGTTGGTTTTCATTGCTAGACTTTCCAAATATGTTACTTTTTAATCCTGTTCATATATTAATAATGGCTTGATTCAATTTTTTTTTAAAAAAAGAAAACAATATGCATTATATTAGCTAGGTTTCTAAACTCTCTTAAAAAGTTAGTTGATTTTGTTCTTTTCTCTGAATTTGAGTTTACATGCCTTGCCATGGGGACATTGCAAATAGTTTATTTTTATAGCTCTTGTGTCTCTGTAAGTTTCTGTAGCTCCCGTTAGGTCTGTTTTGTGTGTGTCTTGATTTATAAGATGTTGGCGAATGATTCCAAATAAAGCCTTCTTTCTTGCAAAAATATGTAAAGAAATAGCAACAGATGATTCAGAGTTTGAAGTGAGTACATTAATCTCTGAAGCACTAAGCTCCGGGCCGGGCAGCAGGCAGAGGTGGCCGCCCCGACCGGCACGTTGCCTGTGTTCACCCGGCCCTGACCCAGGCCCAGTCTGCCTCCTGCTTGGTCTTCCCCAGGATCCCACCTCCGTCCTCCATTCCCTTCTCCAGGCCAAACTGGAAATCTTGGACCCATTAACCTCAAGTTCACAGGCCTGCAATGGGTCTCTGGACAGGCTGCAGGGAACCCAGTTTTACACTTGCAACTCCGTGTTTTTCTGGGAAGAGTGTCCACACAGCCATCAGATTTCCAGCCTCCTGGACCCTAGAATTGAAAAGGTTTAGCTGTACATAGGTCTCCAGTACCCCTGACAAAGCACATTAAGTGGTTTTTACACCTACAGAAACAGTAAAGACTGTGATTCTCTATCCCTTATCATGCTTCTTAATGTAGCATGCTGACTAGGAGCCCCACCTTGGGACTAAACTGCATTCATCATTTCCTAGCTTTGTGACCTCATGCAAACTGCCTAACCTCTCTGTGCCTTTGTTTTCCCAATTATAAAATAGGGCAAATAATAGTACCTATCTCATTGGCTTGTTGTGAGGGTTAAATGAGTTAATATAGGTAAAGTGCTCAGAACAGAGCCTGGCACCAAGGCAGTTTTCGGTGGTGTTTGGCCCTTCCCTGTGCAGCCTGACAGCTCACAAATGATCATCCTCAATTGCCAACTTGGTGGGCATCTTCTGTGTGCTTGGGGATGTAGCTGAAGCACAGCCTAGGGGCAGCGCAGTGCCTTGGGAGGGCTCTATATGCATAGATGACGCCACAGAGATCCCATGGAGAAAGGCAGGAACTTCCAAAGGTGGTGTGGTCAGGGGGTAGGGGGTGTGATCATGGCTTCTGCTTTGAGCACCCCTCCCAACAGCCTCCTGGGGCTCCTTCATCTGCTGGGCCAGTCCTTCTCATCATCCCGTCTAACACACCCTCCTCTCTGCCTACTTGGCCAACACCCACTCATCCTTGAACACTTAGCTTGGGTCCCTCCTCTGAGAAATCTTCCATGACCACTGACTCCCCACGTGACGCTCTGCTCTTCCTTTGAGACCCCCTTGTGTTTACTGTGCTCTCTTCGTGCCATGCCCTGGGTAGAGCGAGCTTCACGCGTTAGCTATTTAATCCTCACAACCACCTCGTGACAAACAGAGATGATCATCATCCCCCAGTTACATACAGATAAGAACATTTAAGCTTAGAGAAATATTTAAATCTCAATCTCTCCGAGGCCAGGGCCCATGTTTTATCCACTAACCTGGACTCCCTCTCTGTTCTGCCCAACTCCTGTCCCAGTTTTTTAGCCTCTCATTTGTTTAAATTCTCCTGTGACCCTCTTGAAGACAGGGATCATTTCTGATTCATTTCTGTGTCCCAAGCACCTGTCATTGTGCCTGGCATACAGTAGGCACTCAATAAATGTTAAATGGATGGACCTATTTTGATTTTGGGCTCTGCAAAATTTTTGCCATGGCTCTCCCCAGATTGCAACCTTTTAAAAAGCCTTCTAGCCTGGATCAAGGTAAACCCATACTTAATTCAATAAGCAAATATTAATATTTATTTAGTGCCTCCTATGTGATAAGCACCAAGGATACAGCAGTAAATAAAACAGCAACTCCCCTTGTCCTCTTCTCATTCAAGAAAGCCTCACTGGGCACCTCCCCCTGGCGGTGCCATTATGATGCTTCTTGCTGGGGAGAGAGTGCTGAAGAGGACAGACATGCCCTCTTGGAGTTACAATCCAAATGAATAAATACATGGGTATAAACAAAAAGCTACTCCCACCTAAAACCAAAATATAGTGGCTCCCACCTCCCAGGCAGGTTGGCAGTCCCAGGGCGGCTGTCTCAGCTGCACATGTTCCTGAGCAGCCCTTCTGACTCAGGCAGAGGCCTCCCCGCGCAGGTCATGCTGGGCTGCTTCCTCCTCCCTGCTCCAGACCCAGGGGAACAGCCTGAGCAGCCCGGCCTTGCCCCTGCAGTTGTTAGCATGGGGATTAAAGAGAGAAAGTGCAGCGGGAGCATAGGAGGTGGAGCCGGCAAGCTAAGGCGAGGGCCAGCTCCCAGGTTGGCAGCGACTGGGACACCCCAGGTTAAGTGCAAAGAAAGACCACAGAGGCTCTGAGACTGACCTGGGGCCGTAGGTCACCGAACTCACCACACAGGTCCTTCCTGTTATTTTCCCTCTGTGCACAGACCTCATAGCTGTGGAAGTGAGGGCAGGGAGGGTCTGCTGCCTCAAAGAGATTCTTCTCCCCTCCCCAGGATGCCCCCCCACCAACCTCCCCACCCCACCCCCACCCCAACTACTAGATCATGTGGGAAAGGAGAATCTTGCTATTAGATTACAAAGGCTTGACACAGAATTCAGAGGGTGGAGTAAATCAGCTCTTGACTCTTTCCTTCCATTTGCCTCTCTGCCCACAAGACAAACAGTGGTCTGTTCTTCTGACTTCCTCAACCACATGACAGTCTCCGCACAGACCTTCAGCAGCTCTCTCTGGGGTCTTCCCCATCCTCTCACTTTCACCCTTGCCTTGGGCACTCAGTGGGGTCTTCCTCTGTCCAATCCCCTAATACCACCCCAGTTTCTGAAATTAGCTATTCTTCCTTCAGGGACTATATAAGCAAGTACTGGGTTATTTGGGGAGCTGGGATGTAGCAACTTCTTTATCCTCAGGAGTCTAGATCATCTCTTGATTTAGGGGTAGGCCTGCAGACTCACAGGGGTCTCTTACTTGGCTGCACCAGCTAAAGGAGAAAGGCAGGAAGGATTCCGAAAGAAAGAAAAGGGCCACAGCATCACTTTCCTGAAGTGTAGGACAGCTTTGTTGTCTTTCCTCCCTAGCCACCTAAATAACTCTCCCCTGATTTTTAAGGTTCAGTTCAAATGGCTCCTCTTCTAGTTCCCCTGTGCTGAGACCGTCCAGTCCATAGTGGCATCAAGTTGCTCTGAGTGTGAAGAGATGCCACAGTCAACGCAACAAATTTACTTCCATGTTGCGTGTGCGTCTTCTCCCAGGTTGAGTGCTGCTCTGTTCTTTATTGGCCGCATGGGTCTAGGCGGAGAACAGGTTGTGACCGCATGCTCTAGGTGCTGAACTCATGGGGGGCAGCGGGCAGGCTTCAACCGCTGTGAACCTCCCACACAGCCCCTTGGCATGTGCACAGCTTTGTGGTAAACATTTGTTTTCTTGTTGATTGATGGATGATTAACATGGAAACTTGTTCCA